TATCTGTTCGCCGTTTTCCAACGTTCGACTCACCGTCCTGATACCCGGATAGAAAGAGTCGGAAAAACGATTACTCAAGAACGTTCATGAGAGAGTGGTAACTAAAACTGATTAATATTATTTGAGGAAAAGACCATATGTACACTATTGGACTAACTCGGTATTTTGCCTTCATTTCGTACTCTTCTTCTTGAATCTGATCTCAAGCGGCTTATGCTAAAGTTGAATGTCCCTCATCTGCTCCGTTTGCCATGGAGAAATTTGACTTTGAAAATTGAATCCCTGTTCGAGTTCGAACTGGAATGTTCAAACAAATGTTTTCATATATATCAAAGATATCAAGAGGCCTTAAATTGTCATGTTTGTTGTTGATTCGTGCGATCAACATAGCAATGGGAGTTTGAACGTTCACCGTTGAGTTGAATATTAACACTCAAATCTACATCACGATATTAAACGCTCGAATAAAGAATGTGATGGTAATGCCACCGTTTAACATCATCATGTTGATTCGACCATTCAACAACAACATGTTGCTGAACTCTCATGTCGTCATTACGATGTTGATTGCCTGAACAAACATCGTTATGGCAGAACAAACAACAATGAATTACAATCTAACAGTACTGACAAATTTAAAAATACTGCAATACTACAACATTACACCATGCAATAATAGCTTGAAAAAACATCGAAGTATGACCTCCAACGAAATGTTTAGTCAAGTAAATGTTGTAAACAAAGCTCGATGAAATTCTTTGAACTGCATTTGTATCTCATTACACCACGGAAATACCATATTAACATGCTAATGATGAACGACGTATTCATGGAATATAAACTTGGGAATGCATTCAGAATGTTCTTGGTGTCCGTTGATGGCATTTATAGGTTTGAAAATATATAGTTCCTCGGAATGACGGTGTGGCAACAATGCAAACAAATCTTGGAGCTTCGAAGCGAAATTATTTTTATGCGACAGCTCTGATTCAACTTCAGATATGAATACGGAAACAGATAATGGATGTCAATATTTCATCCTTCCCTGTGAAGGTTAGGGGTAGGAATGGAATTCCCTTTTTGTTGGAATGGTGAGTGTGGGAGGCCTTTTACAAAAAAAAATAAAAAATAAAAAAATGTATAGAATATGATAACAAGCTATATGAAACAAATACACGTCTCCTATTGCATTATTTACAGTCAAAATGTATAGACTCCGATGGCCGAGGTTTTGAGTTTATCAAGCTCTTATAGCGGGAATATACCTGGTCGTGCGGACTCAACGACTCTTCAACAGATGAAGTAAATTTAGGTTATTATGTAAATGCGTGATATATATGAAGTTATTAATAATATATGCATTTTAAAATGATATACGCGTTAGTGGGGCAAATCTCGCTCATAAATACGATGAAAATATTCGCCTAAAATTAAGTAACTAGTGGAAAACAAACCGCTCAAATTTAACCCATGCGCTGTTCAAACATTTTGTTGATATATTTGGAACCAAGCCCTTAAATGCCTAATCTGAATAATTCCAATTTCGCCTGAACAATTCAGGCGTCGTGCATTACGTGACTGTGTGCCTAAGCCCATGGTTAAACTATATATTAGTTAATTATCATCATCAATTAACTAATATTAATTAATTAATCCACTGAATTTATCGATATTAGTACAACTATGTTCCAGCCGGTCAGAGGATTACGGCAGTTCAGCTGTGAACATCAGCTTGGCCTATACTTTCAAAAAAAGTTAAGAGATCGTAAGTTCATCAGCCAATCATTGACGGCCTTTCAACCAAAATCCACCAATCATAGACAAGAAAATAGAGCGTAAGTACTTACGTTCACTTAGCGAGTTTTGAAAGTATGGCCCCAGATTAATTGAGGCGGGCGCTCGCCATCAGTGTGAACTGAAGCGTCCGCAGGTTCATTAGGTTCCTTTATGGGTTGGCTGGGAATGACAGGTGACCATGCTGCGCGCTTTGTTTGCTCTCGCTCCTTTAACTAAAAACTTTACATCCAGATTTATTAGCGAAGTATGGCAGATTTTGTTTAAGGTTATCGCGTTCAATTGAAATTTTGATGGTTATCAAGGGTTATAAATCCATTCTATGTGAATGTTTTAGATGCCTTTCGAGCGTCATGAAAATGGAGAACTTGCGCACAAATATTTTCAAATTAAATTTTGGTTGTTTGCCTTCGTGATATTCACAAGACGCCACTCTGGTCTCCATCATCTCTGGCCTTACCTCTTCACCTAATTTATACTTGGCCTTACCTCTACACCCTCATCATACTTGGCCTTACCTCTACACCCTCATTCATACTTGGCCTTACCTCTACACCCTCATTCATACTTGACCTTTCCTCTTCACCCTCGTTCATAATTGACCTTTCCTCTTCAGTCCTAATTCACCCTCATTCATTGTATCTGCTCTGGTGCAGATACTATAGAATAGATGAAAAATATAGGTCAGTGGCCGCTCAACAACCGATATTCGACTGATGCAGATTTAAAACGTTGTACATCAAATGCCTGCGAATTTAGAATCGAAATCAAATCGAAATTGTACCGATACTATCAAGCCGCGAATTGCTGAAAAATACACAATTAAGATGGTCCTCAACATAAAAATTATTTTTAGCGCCAAATAACAGCTCAATTTAAAGCGTCGTGTTCTAATTAACTGATTATTTCCAGGCATCAAACGTCGGCGCAAGCAATTAGCCCCTGGACTGCATGCCGGAAAAATAGTCTCACGTTGCCTGGCAAAACTGAACTCGGCTTTTTGCTTCTCATTATGGAGTAAATAATAGAGCTCTTTAGCTGTCATCAAATTACCCTAACGTCGAAAACAACCTCTCGTTTGGGATTACTGGCCATTGTTTTGCATTTTTTATGATAAATTTTCAGCTCCAGGCGAATTTAATCTGTTTTGCCCAAAAGCCAGTTTATAAATCTTTTCTGAATTATATTTTAAATTTTACAGAAGATACAAATGTGACTTTTAGGTTTCCTTGTCGTCACTATAAACAGAAGGGATGCAGCACATATCTCAATATTGTAAATAAATCATGGAGAGCGCGCTCTAATATATAATCAATAGCTGTTTTGGTACACTAACTCAAATCGAATTATTTTAGATAAATTCATTTTATCTAAATTTAGATAAAATGAATTAGAAAATTAGAATTTTAGATAAAAATAGATAAAATAATTATTTTATATAATTTGAGGGCAGTTTTTATCGATTAAATCGTTATGGTTTGCATCCAAATCAGATAAGGAACAGAACTGACTCAACTGACGCTGGAAATTTCATCTACTATGGCCTACAATGCTACAATTTTAGCTAGAAATTTATATGTGAAGAAAATTTGACGCTCAAAATATAATTATTTCGACCTTTGTCAAATTTATTACAACACTTCTCTTTAACTTCGATCACTTCTTGTTAGTTTGTCTGTCTGCTACAAATCTTGTAATCGATATTTAACACACTTCTCCTGTCCAATCGATCTGAAATTTTGCACACTTGCGTAAAGTCGGAGACAATGCATGAAACAATTGACACAATAAATAATTTTGAATAAAATATGTATTAAACATACATTAAATAAAATATTTAATTCATAAAATCAATTTGAATATTAATTTCCAGCGCATTTTCTCATTTATGGAAAAAATGCACAATTGTGCTCGCCATGTCCGTTTGTCCGTCCGTCTGTCTGTCTGTCTGTCTGTCTGTCTGTCAGTCCGTGACTTCACGTTTTCGTCGACGAGAAAATGCGCTCTTTGTCACTCACTGCAGTGAGTACTGGAGTTATATTTTTTAATATATGGTAATAAAATTAAAAATTCATTGTAGATGTGTAACATCGGCAACACTGTATTCTTTAGAAGTGTTGTTTTAAAAAGGTAATTTTTAAACGCATTTTTCAAATTTTATTTGAAAATCCTTGAAATTTGATTGGCAGCAGAACGCAATTTTTAGTAATTGCAGTGGACGAGTGCACGCTAAGAATTAAGACGCTCACACAGAAAGTTCACAACCGGTTTAAATTTACAGTATCCTATCACAATTCATCCAAATTTTATCCATTTTTCCTTATCAGCTCTAAAATAGAACGTATTTATTTGCTCAAACCATTTCTTGCTGTGACGAACTGCTCTCGCTTATTCCGCCGTGCGTTTAAGTCATGAACAAAAATGCAATATTGCGTGACGCGGTCAAGCTCGTTGTTTGATCCTCTGAAGCGTCGTCATGAGTGAAAGCTTTAATGTCACTCAGAAGACATCTGTTATGACCAGCCATCAGCCTCATGGTGGCCACAGATAATATGTCTAGGCAGCAGATTCAACGCATTATTTGCATGTTTTTTAATTGTGATTAAAGTTACCTGACATTCTTCGTTTGCAACACACACCGCAATACAGTACGTAGTTTTTTTTATGTGATTTGTACACTCATTTATTTTCTCGTTAAAGCTTTACAATTCGCATTTCAGAATCAACGTGTGCTACTTTTAGGCCTTAAAGGAGCAATGCCGTCTTCTCTTCGAACATAGTTTGACCTTTAGTCCAGAAATAGACTGAGCCTTGTTCAGCCTTATTTGACATTTACTAAACTTTACAGTGACGCGAATGCCAAGCTGCGAATTAACTCCTCGAATGCGATCCAATTCGAATTTTTTTTTAAGTTGAATATGAAAAAAATCTACAATATTCAAAAATCCGAGAAAGGTAATTGAAATGTCCATAGAAGTATACCAGAGGTCATTGTTGGCGCAATCTTGTCATTGTCCACATGATCGCTCGTGCTTCTAAAACTCTTCTAAATTTAATGCAGAAAGTCGTTGCGATAACTTCTGATCAATTGAGTATGTTTTTCGAAGCAAAAACGATGGAATATGTCTGCATAATTAGCCTATATACATGTTTGTGTTGATTTTCTGACAATATTATCAACTTAAATTTATTTACCTTTGCTTCAGGTGATGTGACCACCAAAACATCAGTCCAAGTTCACTCTTAACGGCAAAAAACTATCATGACGCTGATCCTGCCTTGTGAGACTTCGTGAGAGTTCAAATGATGCAGCAATTCTGTACAAGAATCAAGATGACGCACTTCATAAACGTGCATCACGGCCGCTAGCCCCTCTTGCCATCGCGCAACATCATACACGAACTCGTACGCCCGAACGTGCGATGCAAGAATCAGCAGAGCTGCCCGCTTGTCCGACGATCAGGTGTGATGAACGGTGGTCAAACAAGTGGAGTTTATATCCACTTTAAATCCCATAATCTTACTACAGCTTTAATATTCCTAAAAGCCTTCTAGAAACGCTAGTGGTTGTTAGCTTTACGATAACTTTTATTTATGGTTTCGGAACTTTTTATAGTCGATTCTGAACGAGATGACCATCCTGCACCTGTGAGGCTGTTTTTTTCATATAAATTATCACGTATGGTGCATTTCTAGTGCAACCATTTCTATACTAAACCCATATACATACAATCCTCCTATATTGCACACTTGATTTATGTTCAAAATTCCATGAGACGAACCGTCGATACTTAAATCTATTTACCACATCAATACGATATGTTTAATTTAAAACAATACAAATTATAAATTTATGATTGAATGTGAAACGGGCAGTTATATTATGCATAAAAAACTTTAGCTAATTAGCCTGAAGTAAAATGGTTTCCCTCCTAACAATATATATAGAATAATTCGCTCCGGTACTTATATCAGGTGCTTCTTAAGTTACTCCAATCAATACACTTTAAATGGAGGAATTGGGTCGTCACAATGAACAGCGTAATATCGATGTCGATAGGATCATCAATGGTGAATTCCGACTTGCCAATGAGCAGTGAATTCCGTCTCACTCCATCTGTTCGAACTTCCGGCGTGCACTGAATTCACTCTTAAATTGTACATCATCTGTTCGAACTTCCGGGGTGAAGTGAATGCACTCTTACTTCATCTGTTCGAACTTCCGGGGTGCAGTGAATTCCCTCTTACTCCGTCTGTTCGAACTTCCGGCGTGCAGTGAATTCCCTTTTACTTTATCTGTTCGATGTTTGCGTGCTCAGTGAATTCTCTTTTACTTCATCTGTTCGATGCTTGAGTGCTCAATGAATTCTCTTTTACTTCATCTGTTCGATGCTTGAGTGCTCAGTGAATTTCTTTTTACTTCCTTTGTTTGATGTTTGGTGGTCGAGTGACCGGCGGCCTCGGGCGCTCTGCTCGTGTCTTGTTGAATGCTTCGCCGTTTCCTATTTGGAATTGAATAGGAGTTCCAATCGACAACTTGCATTCAGTTTCTATAGAGAACTCATCGATTATCAATCTTTGTTCGGTTTAGTTTGTATAAAATAAATTCATATCCACTGTATCATGTACCGTATCGTATTTACAATCATGGAAAACATTGGCCTTCTTTATGTTTGACCACTCAATTGACAAGTCATAAAATTATCATTAATGTATTCGTACTAAGACTCATTAATTACGAAAAAATGTCATGGAAATTCATAAATATGTACTCGTTGAGAATTTAGCAGATTGTCGTCAATTGCATAATTTAAAGTGCAAATATAAAAATATACCTCAGTACTCACTGCATTGAGTGACAGAGAGCGCATTTTCTCGTCGACGAAAATGTGAAGTCACGGACGGACAGACAGACGGGCAGACGGTCGGACGGCCATGGCGAGCACAATAGTGCATTTTTTCCAGAAATGAGAAAATGAGCAAAAAATTCTTCATACAAAATTTGTCAAGAAAAAAAGCAAACTCTTCCCTCTAAATAAAAACCGTGCAAGACTGTCCGCACGAAAAATTTGTATTATTTTGTCTCTGACGGGAAAAATATGTCGCCACTAATACACATCCAACGGCTCAAAATTCGCTCTTTTTTTCAACTAGGTCATGGAGAACAGGACATTGAGAGGACCCAACATTTCCACCACCATTCCTCCGGCTTCTATGGATCCTCCCTCTTCCTCCTCTTCCTCATCCTCCTCCTCTTCCTCGACTTCCACGTCTACAGCTGCTCCTCTGGACAACTCCCCCCACATCGCAAACACGGCCATCTTCTTCAGCTTGTCGCTGTCACTCTTCGCCGTCGTTGGCGTGGTGCTCTTCGTCAGGCGCTGCGTCAGGTGACATTGATGGAACATCTTTATCTTTTTTTGCCATATCTGGCAGGCAATGATAGTCTAAAGGTCATTGCAACCAACACATTTAGAGAATAAAGTACCTTCTTGTAAGAAATGTTTTCGAGGACTTTTAGTTTTTTACATGGTTATATAACATTGAATTTGTGAAAATATATGATCTGAGGTTCACACGTTTTACTTATTTTAATCCATTGTACTAAACGTAACTATACTCAATACGTTAGATAATAGATGTTCTTATAGACAAATTTGTTTCACATACTTCTCGAATCTTACCTCTTATCGAATTCGTTTCCGTTGCAGATGGCCTGCAGCAGGGGCTGAGTTGCAGACCGAATCAGGCACAGGGGTTTTAAGAAGGAACGAATTCAACTCAACCGACGACTGTTCGGCACTTCCTGCCGATTCATCTTACGATCCAGCAAATTTCTACAACTCCCCGTACAGTATCATCCCCTACGACTATGCTGATATCGACGACTACAAGTTCATCCAAACTCCAACAAGTCCCACTCCAAGTTCAACTCCCGGAGTGATCGCTCGCAAGTCTGGACGGTTCAATCCGCACCTTGCTCATCTCGCTGGCTTCAAATTCAGGAAAGAAAGCTGTGGGAGTTGTCATAGTAAAAGCAAGCAGAGTCGAGAGAACTTGCACAAAGATGTGCGATACTTTTGCAAAAACTGCCGAATGCTTCACCGATATGAGGACGCTATCGGGAGAAGCTGCAACAGTCTGGCACCTGATGCGTCAGGTAGCATAAGCAGTTGCCTCGATAAGAAGGCGTTTTATTACACGCCAACGCACATCCACTTAGCTATCATTTCTTCAAAAGGAAAGAAAATACATGATGCAGAAAAATACAAATCCCTGAGTGAATTCCGTGGTGGGGTTCTGCATGATTCTAAGTCTGAGTCCAATTTGGCAAAATCGCTACATTCATCTAACGCGGTATTGACAGGTGGTGGCCCCGATATCTTTTCGCCTAACCCTCGTCGGAAAATATCCGACATATGTACACATTCAATGGACGCCGAGAGAGAATTTGAAAGACCACATAAATCTCGGTCGTCGGTAAGCACAATATTCTCACCCAATTTAGATCAAAGGATGAACTGCGACGGTTACATATCTCAGCCATCGTGCAGTTATGACATGCAGTACTCCTCACAATTTGATCTGCAGAGTCAGTCATATATCGAATACCCCTCAATGAGCTGCTTACAAACCTGTCGAGAAGAAAGGAGCGAGATAGAAAAACGGCTACTGCCGCTTCGAAGTGATTCTCAATTTGATCTTGCACGTGCAGATTGCCAGTCAGCTAAGATGCGCTTGCCTTCCAATTCGCGTAGGCAGGCAGTAGCTGGTAAAGACTTGTGCTACAATACCAACAACTCCCAATATCATCAGCGTTTCACGGATCGAAGCTCCCAACAACCACTTTCCCCTAGATTAATTGAAGGCATTAGCCAGAGCTCTGCATTAGATTCTGTCAGTCTTCGTTCCCATACGTTTTCATATGATATCCCGATGGAAGATGATTGTTCATACTCGAACTCACTTGCTTCGTCAATCAGTTCTCTACATCGCTCTCCCTCTCATAGTTTGACGCGTCCACCTTCCTCTCGGTGTCCAAGCCTTTACCGTTTAGCAGACCAACAATACGGCCAGAGTCCTCAAGGTTCTTCAGCGGGCTCAATGCATCGCAGGCATTTGGTTCAACACATCCGCACACGGTCAACTGATCTTGCGGATGTGACTCCAAGCTCATCGCGACCTGATATGAGATCCATTGGAAAAAATCAGGACTGGTATAGCATGACTTCGATGAATACAACAACCGACGACGAATATTGTTACGACGATGAGCAAGACGAAGAAGATGATGAAGATGAAGAACAAATTACCGTTGCAGAAGCCAACAAGAAAATGTCCGATTCTCGGCCTTTCGAGTCACAAGTCCAAGATATGAATACTGCTGAGCCTAAAGTGCCTGCTAAAGGCAGTAAAAATAAGTGTGAATTTGAACTAGAATATCCCTAACGCCCTTTTAGCCGGCAGACACTTGTTTGTATGTACCAAGATTAGTCCCCGAGAAATTTTATTTTCACAATGGAAGATACTCTGTGATAAAAAAAGTTAATGACACAAAGTATTTAGCGAGACAAGGTATAAACGTGTCGAGCTAAGTTCATAAAGTACCATCAGTGATGGAATATAATAATTATTGGACAATTAATTATGTGCACAATGACAAAAGGGATGAACAAATTACGCGAAGACGATTGATTGTGGGCCCGGGCTAAATGCACTTTAATTTGTTGAGACAATAAGGAACCTTAACTTTGTATTTAAATATATAAGTGTTTTCTGTAACTTCTTTCTTATGAGGGATAAATGTAAGTTTTCCTTGATAAATTTTTACTATCAATACTTTTAATGGCTATCACGAATACATGAACTCATGTCTTTTTGCGTAACCCATTTCATTTTACAAGTAAAATTTTAAATTGTAAGCCACATGTGCAGACAACTCCTTAGTGTACCCTTGTATTTATTGCTTATTTGTGAATTGCACCTGAAGTTAACAGTTATTTGCAATCTGTAACGTAGATGCAGTGGGAGACAAACCATTTGTTTCTTTTCATTTTGTGCTTAGCGACAAATTTCTTCTTATATTGTCCAACGTTTTACTGTGACTATTTATTCTATCTGTCTGCTTTCATTGCGCTGCAGCAATTTATGCATTGGAATCAATCGCCTGAATAGGTATTATTCGCTTTCTTTTCCATAAACCATTTTTCAACTTCATCGTTATTGTTTGTGATGGTAATTATTTATTCTCTATTAATTATAATGTTTCATTCGTGATTTAAGATATTCAGACCCGAAAATTTCTATTTTTAATCGGTTGAGCGCCTTAATGCGTTATTAATTATACAATTTGTATATACTCGTTCATAAACATGAGGACATAGGTAACAGCTCAACCATTTTTCATGAATCATTTATCTACTAGAAATTTGTGCATGACCCAATTTTCATTAGACCTCTAGCACAGATTGCCAAATTAATTTATCCCGAGATGTAAAAAATGCCTTAACGTGCATTTATTTAGTCATATATCTCTTAACCTATCATGTATATTTACACAATCCATTGTCGAGTTAAAAATATATTCACGTACCTATGAAAATTTTCTGCTGACATTGAATTTTTAAATCACAAAATAACAATTGTTTATTGCCGAATCGAATGATTTGTCTGATTTTTCTCTTAGTCGCGTTTTTTCTTAGTCTTAATTTATACACGTTGGTTTTTTGCTTGATGTTCTCTACTTCAAAAATCGTTAAATATTTCGGATAATCATCGTACAGTTTCTATGTGATGGATTGTTAAAATCAATGTTCACGTACGAGTCATTCGCCCGAGAACTTTCCTACATATCGATTTAATACAATAAGAATTCAAATAATTATTAAATGAATGTTATAGTTATCTTGTTTATTGTTGTATACTTTATTATAAAATAAATAAAGTTTGTGCTGGTCTTAGTGATGAATAAAAGTGATGTAACTGACAATAATTTTATTAATTTTCCTGCATCGCATTCGCATTCACCGCAAGTTGATGGTTCAATGACATTGATTGTTCCAATTTTGATGATGTTATTGAATTGATTAGATATCATTTATAGAGCAGTCATAAATAACAACGCACAGACGAGGATAATTTATTCGCAAGTAAATAATATCTCATAATAAATAATGTATCATCGGGTAAACGTGTTCAGTTTATAGAATGCTGCAGAAAGATGTGGCTGAATATTTGAGAACGGCCTAATACATTCTGAAGAGCAAAAAATGATCGTTTTATTCAGCTATGATAAAATTCAGTATATTTTAAAATATATTCTTACCATATTTTTGTTTGCTCAAGCAGCCGCAGCCATAAAATCATAATCATCCAGAAAGTACCTCTGAAGACCAATGTGGCAACATCCTTCTGTTTGGTTGTGTTGTGATTCGGTGTATGTCGTTAGTGACGAAAATTTTATGTGTTAGGAAATAGGATTAAAGCATCTAATTTAGGTAAGCCTTTTATCTTATTTCAATCAAAATAACTGAATTTCATTTTGTGTGATCTCATTTTTTATGTATTTATTTTACCCGTAATGCGAACCGGTGACGTCAAACTATAATTGATGTTCGCCGACAAAGTAGACAGACATCATACCTCAATTTGATTACTAGGTATATGTTATTACTTGCTCACGTTAACTAGCGTTAGCTGCATACCCGTATAGCTAAGTTCAGTAAGTTGCATACTGAATTGGAATTTTTCTTTTACTTTGATAGCATTAATTGTTAATCTTTGTAGAGTGTTAATTGAAGTTTCAATATAGGTGTATTGTAACTTTGTAAGTATTGAGAATAGTACCTAATTTTTTTATTTACTAGCTAATCGTGGCTCGTGAGATTAGCCTGAAATTCATTTAAGATGAGTAGTTGACTAGAGGTTCTGAGGTTACTGAGTATTGTAGCCTAGTATGTTTACTCATTCTACTGGCCCGAGTAGGCCTAACCTGCCTACTGGCACTGGGATGATCCCAGTGGGATCACCTCAAAGGCATGCCGCACGGAATATATCTAGGTACTAGGTGAGCTGCAACTAGATTTTTTGAGCTACAGTTTTATGGATTGGCCAGAAGTGATTCCATTTCTCCTAGCTGTGAATGCCATTATGCCATAGGTATCTTGGCCATGAAGAGCCATTCACAAGACAAACTTATTTACTAAGTCCTGTGCACGCAGGGCTGGAGAAATCCTATTTTTTTTCTGAAATATCACCTCTTAAATATCCTATAATTTCAGTAAGTAGGGTAAATGCGGTATATTCCGACACATTAAGGATGTAGCAAGAAATGAATGGCTAGCTATAAAAAATCACCGTTTGCGCAACTTGAGTTCTGTTTGCTTTATGTCACTCTCATGTCTCAAAACAATGCACTACACACCAGCAACTATGAAACGTCACAAACTGTTGCCATATTTATTTAAAAGCCTTTAGAATGCAAACCTACCAAATCCATATAGCTATTCCAACCATGGTGCCAATTCATAGGTTATTCAAAAGAACCTGTTCTTATGTCATTTTGAACTGATCAACGCTTCTTTCGGACCGATCATAAACACACCTTCACCGGCAAAAGCTTTCACACTTCTGAAGAAAAGTGAGCTGACAGCTACACTGGCCGTGGGGCGTGGGTGGACCTAATTTGAATTTGAATGCATGCATCGATTTGAAATCCTATAGACCAGGGTGGAATTCTAGAAATGGAGGTTCACTTATAAAAAAGCTTTCCACCCAAGGTGGAATGCTTTCCTTAGATACAGTGCTCTGCCAGGTGACTGACTAAATGAAAAGGAGGATCAAAATTGGACAAACTGTTTCAATTGTATAGTACCTCAGATTTGTTATAAAATTGTTTGAATGTCTCTTGTTTGATAGATATTCTCTATTTTTCTTTTATTTAATAGATTTTTTGAAATTTTTCCAGGCTTTTTGTTTGTAATGATCAAGTTTAAGTTCAGTATTTAGTTAACCAGTACTGTGGTACATATACCATATTTGGGGGCGGGGCTTATGGGCACAACCAATCACAGCTGGAAAGCATCCCCATCAACCAATCACAGCTTGAAAGCATCCCCAGCAACCAATCACAGCTGGAAAGCATCCCCATCAACCAATCACAGCTTGAAAGCATCCCCAGCAACCAATCACAGCTAGAAAGCAGATAACATTACAACTCCATTAACCAATCACAGCTGGAAAGCTGGAAGGGGCTAAAATCACAATCCCATAAACCAATCGCAGTTGAAAAGTGATAGGATATGTATACCTAATGATTAGCTGAGGCTAATGTATATAATAAAATGGACTGGAAATGGAAAGTTCCTGGACTTTCCAACCTTTCAGGTCCTGCTTTCCAATATGCTATGTGTACTGGTTAATTTAATATCCCTCTAGAATTCCCCACTGCTATAGACTATAATAGACATAGTATACAAGTCATAGAGCCTAAATTTTTAATATCTATAAAAAAATGTACGTTTCTGCATGTATTATAATGCTGTTAACATTAGCAAACTTTGAATTATCTCTGATGCAAGAAATACTTGATTAAATCATTTTATTTTCAATATAAGCGACTGGATGCAACAATCGGTTTGCAAGAACCAACATAGCCCTGAACAGCAGTAATTTCAAATTTTTGATTGATGTTAATTTCTAAATTAAAATTTATTTAGCCAGTATTTCTTGCATCAGAGATACTGTCAAGTATTTCAATGCTAACAGCATCAAAATCCACACAGAAACATAAAATTTTAATAGGTTGTACACTGAAATTTACGCTCCTATTCCAAAGAACTGAGACCAATTTAAAAAAAAAAAACGACTAAATTGAATCCATCGCGCTTTCTGGCATCTTCTCTCACAGCTGATTGCAGTTACAGTGCATTTTGTTTAGCTTAAGTTGCCAATACGTATTTAATGTAGACATAGTCTGATAGTCTTCCGTTGGTACAAAACTTACAAAATAACCTTGAATTATTGATTGCTAATTTCTTGTATTACGTAAATGTTTATGATTCAAATTAATCATAGAAGATTAGAAGTTGCATCTCCATAATTCCATGTTGAATTAAAATTATTCATAGAAGGTTCACACACTGTTACTGATGCCAGCGCTAGCAGCGGCAGGCAAATGAACTACTTTATTATTTAGTATCTTGACTAATTATATAATAATATCGTATTCTGTTTAGGCACAGTCTCTTAAAGTGTTCCAGCAACATATTTTTCATTATTGATTATTTAAATATATTAACTTGTGGTGCAGTAAGATATCAAATTGTTTGAATTCTAAACAAACATGGCGCATCTACATCCAGATCCTAGCGCCAGCAGTGGCCATTCAAGGAACTACTTTATTACTTAGTATATTTACTATGATAATAATAATATATTATTCTGCTTAAGCACAGTCTCTCAAAATGTTGCAGCAACACATTTTCCATTGCTAATTATTTACATTTATTTATTTGTGGTACACCGAAATAATGCATTTTTTTATGTTGATGTTCTTGGTGTACCACGTGTTCTCATGTGTGACGCCACCGCAGGCATATGTAAACAAAGCCTGACAGATGGGAACAGTTTTCGATTGAAATCGATGGTTATTTGTGAATAATATTTTCAATTGTGATATTATAACATATTTCTGATGGTGAAATAATTTTGATTGTGATATTGACACTTGCCAGTAGTATCAACATTTGAACATCAAAGTTCTAACATAATTAATTACGAGGTACCTAAAAGGACTGAGCAGAGCTGAGATCATGGCTGAAGCTTCTTAACCGATGTCATAATTGTCATTGTCATTTTTTACGTCATTGATATCATTCTGGAACCAACGTAAGTAACTAAGGAATTTCCCAGTTCAAATATTTATTGATATATTTATATCAATTTCAAAACTAAGTATTTCTAAAGGGAGTTGTGATGAGACCATGGGAGTCGAACCGTTGAGTTTAGACCATTGCAACTTGCAACAGGGGCCCAAGGGCATGGGGCCTTGCAAAGGGTTAAGACTGCAGACCGCCGCACGGCGCTGGACCGACATAAGTACCTCTCTTCATAGACTTCCACTATGATTCCAACACTGTGTGTGACTAAATTTGGCATTTTGCGAGACTAATTCCAGCCGCGCTTCAAACTCTACTAATTTGTAATTCTAACCCTCTTGTGTTCAAATTCTGACCGCTGTGTGAGCTGTATTGGAATACAACACAGCTCCGTATTAGAATACTATTGAATATTGAATACTACTTAATGAGGCTTATAATTGAGGGCTATTAAGCTTTTAATTTAGAAAATATTTGTGTGTGTAATTCCAAGCCATGTCTGAATTAGTTTTTATGTGTCTAAACTTTAACACATAAAGTCTCTTCTGTGTAGCCTATTAATAATAGATGATTATTATATTATTAATAGATGATTAAGTCTCTTAACTTAATCATCTATTAATTTATTTACCACTTGGAATCAGCAAATACAAGTATACTTAACACGTTGACTACGATTGCTTCATCTTGTACTATTATTTCATTTTTTGTACTTTTTTTGAGCAGGGTTGCCAGACAGTCATTTTTTCCGGATAAATTCCGTGATTTAGTTTTTCTCAATAGCGTTGGCCGACTAAAATTTATGATAGGGGTACTTCCTAATTAAATTTTAAATACTGCAAAAAGAAAATAAATGGAATTTTTTAGCGGAACCTACAAATAAACTAGTATACATTGAATTTTTGGCCTTTTTTGTTCTCGGATTTGGCCGATTTTAGGCAATCTGAATTATGTACCAATACGTAGTCAACGTGTTAAGGGATTCCTAATATATTTACAGACTTATTTAAAAAAGTCTCAAACCATAATATTCTTTCTATACAGTTTATCACTATTTGGTAGAGCAAGATCAACTATCAACTTTGACACATTTTTTTATGTTCTTACTAGGTGACTTGCACTGTCTCTCTTTGGATCTCAACATTTTCCCACCAGATGGCCCAGACCTAGTGTTTTGGCAATAGTATGGGGCGCAATAGTATGACGCCACTATTTCAACCATTAATGAATGCGTGGAACTAAGACAAAGCTTGATATAAAAGAAAAAAGTTGAGAATTGTTGGAATTACCCACGATGTTGGAATAAACTGCATTAACCCTATGAAATCTTAAGGCTTAAATGTCATAACTTTTTGTTAAGATTGTAGAAATTGTGGTTTGCACTTCACAAACATGTCATTTCATAAAATTTTCTACTGCCCCAATCCGCATTAGGGTACTTTATGGTACTTGCCAAAATATCCTGCAGAATCAAACCTAGCTAATCAGTAATCATCCTAATGTAATCAAGTCAACCTAAATGTTTTGTTGAAGATCACTCATAGGTGCAGACTTGCAGTCACGTCAGACTGCATTTACACCTGTTCAGCTTACAGTAAAAACAAATGTTGTTGTTGCCA